CCTGTGCTCGGCAGCCGGGGTGTTTGTGGCTGCTGGGCCCTGCGTCACCCGGCCCTGCCAAGGGGGGTTTTGGGGGCACTGGGGGGACCCTGCTCTGGCTGGCTAGCCCATGGGGTGTGGGCAGAGACCAGAGCTGCCCTGGCCCAGTGGAAGGAGCACAGGCACGTGCTGGCGAGTCCCCAGCTGGGCTGCTGGCCGGGGTGTGGCCCTATGGGGTCCTCCCCACTCTGAGCTGGTTTCCTCATCCGCTAAATGGGAACAGGGGTGCCCCCATCCCCGGGCTGCTGTGGGGTGCAGTGAGACAGAGCAGGCAGATGGCCCTGGCTTGAGGGCAGCAGGCAGCACGTGTGTGGCCACCCAGCTACCGGGCGCCCCGCTCCGAGACTGGCACGGGGCTGTTGTGCCAGTCCTGGCCGCTCAGCCTCCTCCTGCGGGCCTGGCCATGTGGCCACTCGCCTTGGTTTGCAGCAAAAGGGCCTCTCGTGGCAGATGAGAGGGCTTGGCCCCGGCTGAGTCACGAGGCGGGGGCGGGGGTGAGCGGGGAGGACCAGTACCACCTGACCCGGAGCCTTGCTGTGGGAACCAGCCGAGCTGCTTTTCCCATCAAGAGCTTCCTGAGCTCCCTGCACTGGGCGCGCCTCCTTCACTTCCGTCTCCATTAAAATAAACGGCCCCATAGGCGGAGGCCACCAGCCTTGTCCCCAAGGGCTGGCTGCCCGCCAGACTCTAACCGCAGCACCCCAGAAGCAGGAACCTGGGGAGGTGAGGATGCAGGAGGCACCCCCACCCCTGGGAAGGGGCCTGCCCCCCAGGAGCAGCCTGCTCAGGGACCCCTGCCTGCCCATGGGGGCTCCGTCACTGTCCAGCAGCCCTCTTCCAGGGTGGCGAGGCCTGTGTGCATGCCTCCCCCAGGGAAGGGAGTCCTCGCCCACTCGCCCGCTGGGCCCTGAGCTCCCCTTGGCTTCCCTCCACGCGCGCTTTTCCAATAAAACTCGGCACGGACTGATTGATAACTCACACCGCTATTGATCGCCAGTCCCAGGTCTTTGAAAAGGCTTCCAGGCTGATGCCCTCTCTTGTTTGTTTGTAGGGCTGGGGCGGGCGGGGCCCTTAGCCCATGTGATTGGCAGGCCTGGACCCCGAGGTCGGGGGGTCGGCCGTCCTCTTGGGGGTACATGGCTGGGTGGGGTCTCCTTTGCTTTTCTGATCACACCAATGGTGCGTAGTCACTGTTGGGAAGTTAGAAAACAGAGAACAGCTGTGTATATACAAGGAGATACTCCAGATCTCCTTGACCCCACCCCTGAAAGAATGACTTGTAATGTTTTGCTGGAGGTCATGCCACTCAGAGAAATAGGTGAGTTTCATTCTTCTGTTTGTTCAAGAGAAGCTCAGCGGAGCTCAGAGCGGGTCAGGGCCCCGGGTGCATCCATGAACTCGTGCCTGTGGGGCCCCTCCTCGTGCTCAGCCCCCCAGGGTGCCTGGGCTCCTGACCAGAGACCCCGGGTGCAGGGATGGTTTTCGGGAGGGACGATAAGCCTTTCAAAGGGCGTGGGGTGGAGCCTCCCATTCCTTTCTGTCAGCCTGGTTCTGCCCCCGTGGCAGTTCCGAGGGTGGGTGACAGGCGCGAGGCACAGCCCACTTGCTCTGTCCTCACGTCCTTGCTCCAGGGGCCGTGTGGGGCCTGCATCCAGGACACAGGCGCCCACCAGGTCGTGCCCCAGCAAAGTCAGAGCTCTGGCCCCTGAGTCGCCTCCTCCTTCAGAGGTTTCTAGGCTCTAAGGATGGCCCTCTGACCCCACTCCCTGTCCACACCCCTGACATGAGTGTGAATTAGGGGGAGACGCTCAGGGCCACCCTGGGGGGAGCAGCAAGCTGTGCCCAGTTGTAGCGAGTTCCTGGGGAGAAAGGGAACAGAAGTAATGCCAAGCTGCACGAGAGAGAGCGGCGGAATGTTCTAGAGCAGGCCTCCCTGCAGGCACTGACCTTAAACCCAGAAGGAGTCAGGAGACTGGCAGCCTCGCTCCACTAGCCGCTGCCTTGAGGCTGCACCGGGGGCGCTTTTTTGCTGCTCGGCCGTGTGCCCAGAGCAGGGCAGCGGGCCTAGGTGTGTGGCGTCCAGACCTCTGACCCGCATGCCTCCCGGAGCTCAGGGGGGCCCAGCGCACACAGGTGCTGCCCCACGGACCAGCAGTCCGTTTCCGTGCCGAAGTCTTGATGGAGCACGTACGGTGCCTCGCTCTGTGCTGGGGGACAGGTGGACGTCACCCTGCCACCACGCCCCAGTGCTGTGTCCGCCCCGTGTCACCCCCAGCAATGGCCTCATCTGGGGGCAATGGGCCCTGTTTGAAAAGCTGCTGGGCAGGGAGGGGCCAGGACCTGTCTTCCTTCACCCGTGTGCTGACCACTTGGCCACCAACCTCAGCTGTCCGCAGGAGGTGACGCGTGTTGTTCCACTTGTGGAGTGTTCTGGTCAGGGCTGGTCACCCTGGGAGGGAGTGGCCTGGGCAGGCAGTCACTGCCACTCTGCACTGCCTTGCAGCCTTCTCACTGGGCAGCAGGACGGGACACCCCCCGGGGCAACTTTGGCAGCAGACTGTCACCTACAGCCTCCGAGGCCGGCACGGGGAGAGGACACTCCCAAGGCTGGCAGCTGGCCTGACGCTGGAGGCGGGCTGGTGGAGAGCCACAGCCATATGGGCCAAGGTAACTAGACAGGGCAGTGGCAGTGGCAGCCCGAGGACAGACGGTCACTCCCTCGGTGGGCCCCAGCAACTTGGGGCAGCACCAGGCTCGGGGTCAGACAGACCTTCGTCCCAGTGAGCCTCGCCTGAGCCGTGTTGCGGGGGCGTCCCCCTCCTCTCTATCCCTCTCTCTGAGTGGGCAGCGGGCCCGCCTGCAGGAGGGCCTCCCGCACACATCTTATCTGTAAGCGGATAAGAACGGACATGTGAGCGGTGAGTTGCAGAGGGGGCTCCAGGGCTGTGCTCATGAATTCTTCCAGCCTCCCAGTGTCACCCCGGGACATATCTTGTAACCCAAGGGTGCCCTGAAACACGGTCTGGGAAGCACTGGGTGGAGTGTTGAGGGGTCTGTGGAAACAGACCCCCTGGGCCTGCAGCCATGTCTCTGGTCACCGGTATCTGAGGGTAGAGGGGGCGGAAGGGTTGCCGGGGGGGACAGGTGGGTTTTATGACAAAGGAGAGGATGGTGTAGAGGAGGGGTTAGGAGGGGTCCCAGGGAACAGGGAGCCTGGGGTGCACGGAGGACTGGGCTCCAAAGAAGGAGGGGCAGGAGGACAGGAGCATCTTCCAGAACCTTCCTCAGGGACTAGCTCTGCTTCCTCAGCAGTTCTATGGGCTCCCCCGAGCTCTGGAGGCCCCTCCTTGAGTTCTGGGGGCTCTCCCCGTGTTCTGGGGACTGTCCCCAAGCTCTGGGGAGCTCTTCCCAAGGACAGGTAGAAGCCAAAATATTTGGGTCTGTGTGTCTTTCAGAGCCTGGGGAGCAGCCTTGTGTCCCCCTACCCAGCCTTCAGCAGGTGACCTCCCTGGATGTTGGACGGCCCCTCGGCCCAGCCTCACCTGTATGCAAACCCCAAGAAAGACCTTCCCCCCATTTGCCCATTTAGGGGCCCCCTCCCCGCGTTCTGCCATGTGTGACTGATCTTGGTTGGGGCCCCGGCGCCAGCATGCCCTTAGGTGTGCTGGTGGGGGTCCCCGTCAGTCCCCATCCTTGGTGCCCTCTCCCAAGTGGCTCCTGCAGGACGAGCATCTTTCTTTCCCTCTTGTAGACGCAGATGGGCGAGGTGGAGGGGTGTGTCTCTGCAGCTCAGCTCTGGTTCCAGCAGGCGAAGGAGCCGCCCCCGGATAAGTCCCCTGGGAACGGTAGGGGGCTCCCCTGCGTGGGCCTTGCCAGAAGCTCCTCCACCTGCCGTGGGTCCCCTCCTAGGCTGTGCCAGCCGCTGGACCAGAACAGGGAGGCCCGGGAGGAAAACCACACTAACCCCAGCACAGGGGGAGATCCGCCTGCTCCGTGTCTCATGGGCGACGCGGCAGCTCAGCCATAATTGCTCTGATTGTTCCAGTCACACTTTGTTGATCTGGAACAGATCTTTGAGTGACTTGGAAACCAGCGTTGTCATAAATGTCTTCTGTAGCTGACGAGGGGTTGTTACACGCACTGAATTCCGGGGCAGGAGGAGACTCATTCGCTGTGGGAGACAGCAGGCTGGACAGCCAGGGGGTCACGTGGCCCCCGCCTTGTCTCAGTGCCCGGATGCCATCTCGGAGCTCGCCCTCCAGCCTGTGGTGTAGGTGAAGGGTTAGAGCCGCTCCAGGCCCTCGGGGCTGCCGGGAGAGCTTGTGACCGGGCGGTCTAGAGTATGCACTGGGTCTGTCTGACCAGGCGCTGGCTGCTTTCTACTCAGGACACTGTGCCTACAGGGGCTCCCTGGGTGAAGCCCCATCATGGTCCTCGGGAAGCCAGGGGTCCTTCCACGTGGCCTACCACTGGCTGTGGATGAGAGCCCATGTTGGCAGAGGTTCCACAAATCTGGGCTTTAGCCAGATAGCTCTGATCCCTTCAGGCCAGCGGCCTTAGGACCGTGCTAGACCCCTGGGCCTGCTGTCCCAACACCTGCCAGGTCCCAGGGTGGAATGAAGGGGTAGGAAGATGACCCACGGACATGGAAGTCTCCAGGAGCTTCTCGGTGGAGGCCCTGCTGTAGCCCCCTTCTCCCCTCCGTGTCCCCACTTGGCTGATCTTCAGCTGTGCTGTGGGTGACCTTGACGTGTCCAAGGCCTGCTCCTACCGCCCTTCCTCGCCCCCTCCCCGCCAGCGTCCAAGCAGGCAGAGCCTGGAGCTCCACAGCGCAGCCCCTGGAGAGTCCCTGTGGGGCAGGAGAACAGTTATGGCAAAGGGTTTGCAAGTCACAAGGGGGGGTTTTTCCCCAAAACTAAAATAAAGAGGTCCCTAAATTTTAAACAATTTTTCTAAAAGGTTTTTCTGGGACTTCATACCAGTAACTATCCAACAACAGGGTAATTTTAGGGGCAGATAGCCACATATTTTTCTGTCCTTGCACTAACCAACTACTGCAAATAAGTGTTGCAGCTGGTTTGAATTTTAAGATTTTTTTCACATGGCTTCAGAATTCCTGGGCACCATGCCCTCCGTGTCCTGCTTCCTGCACCCGTTGGCTCTGACAGTCCCTTTGCCTCACAGGAGACCCCCAGACCAACCCCAGCCCCTCGTCAGCAGAGGAGAAGACCCGGCTTCTGATGGAAAGCCATGCACGGAGCTTCCAGGGCCGGAGCCCCCACTCCCTGGCCGGAGAGGGTCCCTGCAGCCCCCGGGAAGCCAGCGTGAGTGGGCTTGGCCCTGTGCTTTCTGCAGGCTGAGTGGGGGTCTGGCCTTGCCTTGTCGGGCCCTGCCTGTGGCTCTGGGTAGGGGATCCCCTTGTCCATCAGATGGGGTGTTGATGGGTCTTTGAAATTGCCCAGGAGGAGGGGTGTCTGGTGAGTGGGGGTCTCCATGGACCTCTTAGGGGGATGGTCGTTGTTACCCTGGTCACAGAGCCCAGGGGTTTTATCCACAGCTGAGAGAGGTGGGCCGATGCCCTGGCAGAGTGGCCACGCCCTGACTGTGCTGTTTCTCCGCAGTGTTTCCAGCAGGTGGTTGGAGGCAGCACGAGCCAAGCGGGATCGGAATTGGGGCTGGGTTTTGCCGGCAGCCCCACAGGGGAGCCCCACGAGACGGAAAGCTGGTCAGGGGAGCGGAGGTGTGGGGCCTGGGAGGGCTGCCTGGGTGGTGGGACCCTGGGGCCTGGAGACAGTTCAGCCAGCACTCCCTGACCTCTCCCTGAAAGACCCTCACTCTCTCCTGGGGCCCCTCGTCCTGGCCTAGCTGTGCACCCCCGAGCTCTCCTGAGTCTGACCCCCCTTTGGCAATAAAGATGTCACCCAGTGAATCGGCCCAGGATCCAGCGATGGGGGCAGCAGGAGGGGTCCCTCCAGGGAACACGGGCCTCTGAGCCTCTCAGATGGTGATCCCCCCAGTTGCCTGATTCAGTGGGGACCCCCTAAAGACAGGCCCCTCACCCCAACCCGGGGAGCCCTGTGCTCTGAGGGTCACCTCCCTTTGGGGGCAGGTGACTGGCAGGCATGTTTTTCAAGCTTGTTGGGTAGTTGAAGGCACCCTGCGGAGACCCTGAGTCCTGGGGAGGAGGCTGGGAGGATGGGGCTCCCTCCCGGGGGCACCCCCGGACTTCCTGAATGTGCTTGCAGGATAGAGACCTGTTGGCAGGAGGACCCCCATGACCCCTTCTCCTGGCAGGAAGCTGCCCAGCTGACCGCCTCTCCAGGTGATTCCCTGCCCCCCTCAAGGGCCCCCTGCTTTGCACAAGGACCATCGAGTCCCCATTTAAGGGTCATGCAAGACCAGCTTCTAAATCAGAGCCAGCCTGCTCCCGCAGCCACTCCGTGTCCCCTCACATCCCAGGGTCCCCAGCGGCAGGTGCATGACAGCAGGTAGACTCCCTGTCTGAACCGTCACATCTAACAGAAAGAAGACAAGGCCAAGCCAGCCACTCAGTCTCTGAACAGCAGCTGCGGTTCTGAGGCCAGATCCCTGGGCCTCGGAAATGTCCGCCCAGACGTGCTTCACTGACATGTCGGGTGGATGGGGCTGAGATGACCGCGTAGAATTGAAGGGGCCCCACGCTGACACCGTAGGCGCGCCCTCTGCCTCTGTCTGGGGTTTTCTTCCACTGGCGTAGGGGCTGGGAGTGTGGGCTGCCGCCCCTCCCAGCATTGGGGGGACGTCCTCAGGGACGGCAGTGTTGTCCTCAAACTCCCCTCTCTCTGCAGCTCCTGCAGCAGCTGAGGAGATGGCGCCATGCGCCCAGCACAAGGGCAGCCCCCTGCCCTGGCTCACAGCCCCCTTGGACCTGGGCTCCGCGTCCGAGTCTGCTCCCGGGACCTGCTCGGGGTCTTCGGCCTCGTCCTCTGGGAGCGGCCTGTCGTGTCCCTCTCTCCAGGAGTTTCAGAAAGCCTCTGCCATCCTGGTCCAGCTTTCCCAGAGCTCCATCTCCCTGTCGGACTGGGAAGCCGGGGACACCCCGGATGCAGACTGCGGCTGGTCTGGGGAGTTATCTGCGGGAGACTCCTGGGGGTGCCCCCAGGGCGGAGGGCAGGTGACCTGGGAGAGGCCGGAGGGCAGCAGGGCCGGTCCCCTGCGCAGCTCCTCCCCTGTGTCAGGAGGCCCAGAACCAGTGCGAGGCCTTCTGCGGGCGGGCTGGCCACTGCCTCTCCCCGATGCCCCCTCTCCGAGGTCAGGGTCGGAGCTGTCAGTGGCGTCCAGTGAGGTCCGGGACGAAGAGAATCTGCCAGAGCCTGGCGCTGGTGCCGAGATAGCCTCAGGGTGCTCCTTGCCTGCAGGAGGCTCCTCCGACCTGGAAAGCAGCGAGGCACCTGGAGGGGCACTTCCTTCCTGGGACCCTGGGGAGGGACAGGAAGCTTCTGGAGCCAGTGGGAGCCTGACCAGTGGATCAAGTACAGGAAAAGCCAAGTGGACGTCCCCTAAGGCTGCCTGCATGGCATTTCCATGCCAAGCCTCTTCCTCCAGTGACGTAGACCCTTCCCTTTCCATTCCCTTGAGGACCTTGGCATCTGAAGGGGTGGATTTCAGCAAAGGAGGAGAGACTGGGCCTCCGCAGGCCTTGGCTGGCTGCCCAGAGGGGCCCCAGGATGCTGACCTGAGTTCATCCACCGACAGGAAACCCCTACAGGCCTCACCTGAGCCTGAGGTCCCTGTGAGCCCGCAGGCTCCTCCTGGGGACCCCAGTGGGCTGGCAGCTCCAGCAGCTAAGAGCCGGGTGCCTGGGTGTGGGGGCAGCGGAAGCCCCTCTGTCCCGGAGGAAGCCCACTCCCCCCTGGCTGGCTGTGTCTTGCCTGAGATCCTGTCCCCTGTCGATGAGGTGCTGTCCTGTGGCAGTGCCACCCTCTCTTCCTCCACCCACTGGGACGCCCACCTCCCTCCCCTGCCTCACATCTTCCCAGCAGACAGTGAGGCCGACGCCGACAGCCTCCACTCAGAGGACTTCCCTGCCCCGCCCGAAGACGCCACATGTCCAGGGGGCTGGCTGGGCCCCCAGGGGGAGGACGCCTCCCTTAACGCTGGCAAGTTGCCCTCCTTGTCCGGGGAGGGCCTGCCCGAGGCACTGTCCCCGGGGCCCCAGGAGTCGAGGCTCTGCCTGGGGGCAGCTGGACGGGGCAGAAGCCTTGGGGATGAATTGGGTAAATCATGTTCTGTTGTGGGGGACCAGGCTGTGGGCGGCCAGTGGTCTGAGCCAGTCAGCTGACCAGGGTCCTCCATGTGCAGGGGGACAGGCGATGCCCCAGGGGGACTCCCAAGGCTGTCAGCGCAGTCCCCAACCCTGTCCAGAGTGGCCTGGATGGTGGGGGAGGGGCTGCCAATGCTGTTGGCGGCAGGTGACACAGGGCTGTCTGGCACTGGGCGGGGGGACCCTGCTCCCTCTCTGGGTGCAGGCCTCTGCGTGGATCTCCTGGGTGTGGAGAGAGCCGAGGTGGTGGATTTGGTCTCCACCCAGCTCACCAGAAGGATCCTGTGCGATTCACTAGCTGTGCTGTCAGAGCTGGCCCAGCCGGGCAGCCCACCGACAGAGGAGCTGGCGGGTGCCAGCCGTGTTCCCGAGGCTCACACAGCAGCCACTGGGCAGTCTTGGGGAAGACAGGACTTCTGAGGAGATGGTGGAGGGCCTACGGTGATGCACAGACCTGTGTCATCGTCTGAGATATCGTTGTAGGATTGTGCGTGCGTGCGTGCGGGAGGCTTTGGGAAGCCCGGACTTGGCCAGGGCAGAGCCGCTGTGCGGAATCGCCACCCCGAGGCTGGCTGTGCAGATGGTCATCTGAATCAGGGCCAAAGACTAGACGGTGACTCCTTGCCATCAACTGCAGATGGGCTCCGTCTGTGTTTTTCTGGGCATTGGGTCCACTGTTTCCATCAGGGTCCTGAGGAGGTCCCTGATAGAAGAGACTAAGAGGCAGGAAGGTATAGGGTTGTGTGGGGCGTGTCGGGAGGCTGGCTGGCCAAGAGAAGGCGTGGAGCTCAGGGACTTGAGGGAGAACAGTCCCGGGGAGCCGGGAGGGGGAGCCGCTCCCGAGGACAAACTTGGCAGCGGGCCGCAGAGACCACCTGCCAGGACAGCTGCCAGTAGCAAAGCCAAGAGAGGAAGAAAGAGCGGCTTTGGGGAGACACAGAAGCAAGGGGTTGAGGTGGGCTGGGGGTCACGTCCACACTGACGTGCGTCTCAGCTTTCCTGGGAAATCATTCGTGGCGATATTACTGCTTTTGACTTCTGAGGGCCGAGGGCCTAGGTGCCTTCCCTGTGTCCAGCCAACTACCTGTGGCGAGGTGATGGGTGTGTGTGCCCGAGTTGTAGATTAGAGGAAGTGGCAACTCAAGGCTGAAGGTCACTTTACCCGTGGCCAGCCCACTTTCAGGCCTGTCCTCTGGGGTGGGTGGGCCAAGGCCTCCCCGAATGTGCTCAGGACTCCTTCTGGAAGAAACGAGCCCATTTCCTCGCGGGCAGTCCATTATCGAATGAGCCCCCTAACACGGCGTGGACCCAGTGTTTTCAAAGGTGTTAAAGGTGGGCTCTTGTGGCGATGTGCTTCTGCAAGGAAGTCCTGAGGACCCCACAGGCCCTCCAGGTTTTCTTCTTTACCCGAGTGTCTGCTTGTCTCAGCATCGGTGCTCAGGCGAGAGTCCAGGAAATTAATGTTGACTCAAGCATAAAGAGGGTTTCCTGTGGGGAGAGAAGTCAGGAGAAGATGAACCGTGGGAAGGAAACAGGACCAGCCAGCGTGCAGGCCCTTGGGGACGGGGTCTCAGCAGGTTGGGGGCAGGGCGGCCCTGGGGCCAAGTCAGTGGAACGGGCACGGGCGCAGGCCTGAAAGGCAGGCCACTGCAGCAGTGACCTCTGCCCATAGGCGCCACCACCACAAGCCATTGGTGGGCTCTGACCGGTCCCTGCAGCCCAGCCCTCCCCCAGGGCTGTGCTGCAGCCATCGCCACTATCCTGGCCGAAGCCGCAGAACACCAGTGTCCAGACTAGGACGACGGTGGATCCTCAAGTCCTGTCTGCCAGGTCCCCGAGGTTTGTCTCAGGGCCACAGTGTGGGGCCTGAGCTACATCTTCCCCAGTAAGATCAGAATGCTGGTGAGTGTGTGTTGGTTCCCACGTGAGAGCACACGTGAGCTTGGGCTCAAAGGAATTCACTAGAAACTATGGTAACACTCTTAATGTACGTGGCTTCCCACAACACAAGCGTCCTGATGAGGGGTGTGTCATTTCAATATTTTCAGTATTTTTGTCCTGAATCGTATCATCTGTGCACTTGGAGAAGTGGCTTTTAAATGAGCCCAGCAGTCACTTTTTTGTAAAGGGAAGCAGCTTTCAAATCTAGCTCCTAACGTGGTTAGGATTTCTTGAGATGGGCTCACTTGTACTGTGACTGGACCTCTGAGAAGTTTCTTTCCACGTCCTGCAGCCGTCTCTCTCCCTACTGTCTGTCTATTATCTGTCTATCAATCATCCATCTAGCAATCGTCTGTCTGTATCATCTATCATCATTTACCTATCATCTATCATCTGTTTATCTATCCATCCGTCTATCATCTATCTACCACGTATCTATCCATCCGTCTTTTTCCAATTCTCCTCCTGAATTGGAAAACCTCTGCTTGCTGGGGAGTCCAGAACCAGGTGGGCAGTGTGTTGGCCTCAGAAACCTCTGTCCTGGTGCTGATCCCTCCAGGACGCGGCTTCCCCTGTCTGGGCCCCAGGCTCCCCAGCTTTAGGAGAGGAGCTTGTTCACTTGACCGCACTGATGGACCTTTGGGGAAACAGACTTGCACGCACCTGTGGTTCACAGTGGGAGACGCCTGCAAAGCGGGCCTGGCAGAGCCCCGAGGTGCTGCCTGTGCCCTGTCCCCTGGAGCTCTGGTGAGGGACCCCTCAGGCCCCTTAGATCACTGCAGGGCCCCCTGCATCGAGGTGGGAGCCCCCTCCAGACAGCCCTTCCCCAGGCCTCGGCCCCTGGGGCGGCCGCTCCGGTCCAGGTGGACCAGCCTGCCGGGCCGAACTTGGTCACATGCCAGCTCTTGTGGGTGGGTTCATGGTCTAGGGAAGCACCAGCTAAGATAATTCATGTTGATTCCACACTCAGCCTTTCCCAAGCCCACCCCAGAGAGCAGAAGAGGTTTGGATCCATGGGGGAAAATGTGTTCATCCTCTGTGTGCACAATTTCAAAACAGATTTTGAGCTACAGCTTTCTTATTGATTCCTTTCTAGTTTTCTGAACAAATTAGTCTGTAATTTTTTATTTTTTTCTATTTATTGCTGACCCTTTTGGATTTATGAGGCCAAGTGAGAGGAATTATGTATTTTACACACACAGGTTTGGCACGGTAATAAATCTCCCACATCGAAACCCTGCAGATTTGCCTCAAATTCTATAGCCTCCCGTCTGGTGGCTGTGGGGTGGGCGCTGACGGCTCAGTGTGATGCTGTGGTTGCACTTGCAGCTGGAATGAGGGCCTCCCGAAATGACCTTCCTGGGTGCCGGGCAGGCACGTGGAGCGGCTGGAGTCATTTTTCAGCCTGTGGCCCCGCACCCGGGAAGGGAGATTGGTCGAGGAGAAGTAATGAAAATCCTGGCCACGCCTTCTGATGACAGCTGGATCCGAGGGAAGCTGAGGCTATAAAATGATCGGCTGGAAGAGAAAAAGTATGTCCACCGAAGGTGTCAGACACGTTTAATCTCAGCCAACGTCACGTGCAGAGCTGAGGGCTTTGGCATTCAGATACAATGACGGGGGGCCAGACTTCAATATCAAGATGACTCCCCTCCGGGGTCTTGTCACTTGCCTCAGCTTCAATCCCTAGTAACCTCTGGGGCCAATAAATCTTGATACCAGCCTCCAGAGAAGTCGTTATCTTTCATAGAAAATCATTATTTCTCAGTTAAACCCCACATTTAATTTTCCTGTGATCTGTCTCTCGGCTTCCCCATTTAACCGCTCCCTCCTGCATAAAATGCCCATGAACACACCTCCAGCACTTTAAATCCCAAATTGTCAGACGAGCTTAGAGTCCTTTTACAGCCACTCTCAAAGCACAAATGAAGGCCGTGAGGGCCGGTCACTCCCAGGAACACAGCAGCGTCCGTTGAGACGGCGCCCTCCGTGCTGGGGCACCTGGCTCCTGTGGGGCGGGAGATGAGCGAGCAGGCCTGCCCTCCAGGTGGAGCTGGGTCCCCACTGGCTCAGGGTCTCCTGCCGCCAGGGACAGGGCTGTCCGGTGAGTGCCCAGACAAAACCAGGCTCGGGAAGTTAGTCCCGTTCCACACTGGCTCCCCAGGCAGCATTGAGGTTCCAGAAGAATGTCTGCAAGCTGCACATCTGTCCCCACAGCCCCTTGTCCTATCCGCCCACCCTATGCCAGCCGTCACACACCAAAACGCCATTCTTGGTGTTTGTGCCCCACCCAGCGTCTCCTGTGCCCCCAGCAGAGGCCCCTCCCTAATGCCCCATGAGCACAGCTGGGAGCAGGTGGTGGTGTTTGCAAAACTTGACTGCAGGCTCGGGGGACAGGACAGGATCCCACACAGACGCACACACACACAGACACACACACACAGCTGGCCCTGCCCCAGGGGCTCCCTGCGGCCCTCCCGCTGCCTCCTGCTCACCTGTAGGGGCCCTTTTCCCTCAGGCCGTGTCCATCCAGGTTGTGACATGACAGCACAGGCATTTAGTGATGCTAAGAGCCCGCATCCTAAGTCCTGCTCCACCTCTTCCTTACGGCAGGGCCGCCGTCCCCATGCCTCATGCCCAGAATCACTGCCCTCCTCATAGTGTCATTGTGAGGACACAGAGGATTGTCCCCACCAGGCTCCGTCTCTGGCACATGGCGAGTACTCAGGAATAACCCTTCTTGTAAGCTTTCCAGAGAACGGGTGGCGTTCCTAAGCAGCTGAGCCCGAATTCGGTACGCCAACCGAAGGGTGTGACACGGAAGGTAGTGCCCGCTTTGGAGCCAGGGCTGCAGCTGGAGTGTGTCTGCCCCCATCTTCCTTCTCCCTGAGCAGAACCTGTCCCATCTGGGGGGTGTCAGAGAAGGGACAGCCAGCCTTGGCCTCCAGGGCTCACGTCCATCCGGCTGGCACAAGCTGGCATGACCGGGGATGACCACATGCCAAAAGGCAGGAGCCCAGGGCTGGGAAGGGGGTTCTGCCTTGTCCCGGACACAGGCTTCAGAACAGGCCCCCTGGGTGTTGGGGGTACCCAGGTTTGAGACCCCTCTGTCACATACATGCCATGTGCCCGTAAGCACGGTACTGGCCCGATGCCCTCAGTTTCCCCAACAGGAAACCAGTGCCTCATTTCACCAGCTCTAAGATGCAGGTCTTCCCACATTCTGACCCCTTTGAAATCAGAGTGCATCTTTCTCTCTGAGGCCTCTGAAAACTGTCTCTGGCAACGTGTTTTCTTCCTCAGTAGCACGTACACGAAGGTTTTTCTCGCAATCCCCCGGGTCTAGGCACCCATGCAGTGCAGGCACCTCCCTGGCAGGTGGAGGAGGAGATCTAAGGAGGTCACCGGGTG